CTGTAATTCCAGCTACTTGGAAGGATCGCCAGAGCCCAGCAGGTCGAGGCTGCGGTGGCCGGGAGCGGCCACTGCACCCCAGTCTGGGCGACAGCGAGACACCAAATCAAAAAAAATAAATAAATAATAAGCCTCGCCAGGCATGGTGGCTCACGCCTATCATCCCAGCCCTTTGGGAGGCCGAGGTGAGAGGATTGCCTGAGCCCACGGGTTCGAGACCAGCCTGGGAACTTGGTGAGAGCTCACCTCTACAATAAATCAAAAAATTAGCCGGGCATGGTGGTAGCATGCGCCTGTAGTTCCAGTTATTTGGAAGGCTGAGGCAGAAGGATCACCTGAGCCCAGCAGGTCAAGGCTGCAATAGCTGTGAATATGCCACTGCACTCTGTCCCGGACGACAGAGTGAGACTCCAACTCCAAAACAAAAACAAAAGCCATTCGTGATGATTAAATGAGATTGAGCACGTAAGTCACATGCCATATGGAATCTCTCAACAGACTAGTGGTGACAGTCAGAATGGTAACTACTGCTGACTCTGAGTTAACCATGTACCAGGGACTGTGCCAAGTACTTGCCAAGTCATTAACTGATTCACTAAGTCCTTAAGACAAACCCTCGGAGGAAGGCAGTGACAGCTTCCCTACTTTACAAATTAGGAAACTGAGGCACAGAGAATTGAAGAAAGTTGCCCTGTCTCCCCTTTGGGGAGGTGGTTTGATCACAGCTTGCTTTGAGAGCTATTTAAGACTATAAAGTTTGGGCTGGGTACAGTGGCTCACGCCTGTCATCCCAGCACTTTGGGAGGCTGAGGCAGGAGTATCACTTGAGCCCAAGAGTTCTAGAGCAGCCTAGACAGCACAGTGAGACCTCATCTCTACAAAAAAAATTTAAAAGAATTAGCTGGATGTGGTGGTGCATGTCTGTAGTCCCAACTCCTTGGGGGGGCTGAGGCAGAAGGATTGCCTGAGCCCAGCAGATCGAGGTTGCAGTGGCTGTGAGCATGACCCTGTGCTCCAACCGGGGCAACAGAGTGAGACTCCAACTCAAAAAAAAAAGAAAAACCAGTAGTGTTTCTTTGCAGAGTTTGGGTGAGATGTCAATACACAGCAGTTATACCCTGCACCACCCCCAGGAACTAGGAGCTTTCCTTGTGCCCAGATGGTGAAGACCTGGCCCTGTCTCTCCCTGGAGTCTGCCAGAGCACAGAACCAGGCAGGCAAGGATTAAGCGGCTGCTTTGTCCCAGGGAGGAGAAAGGGATCCAACCCCCGCTCAGCCCCTCACAAGCTGGGTGGCCCAGGCTGAGTCACTACCC